GACATGTTCTTTTGAAAATCCCTGAGCCAGTATACTCTGTATGAATTGGCGCTATATAATAAAATTGAATTGAATTGCATTATGAAATATAAGAAATATTCAAATTTTGTTTTTTGTTCATAAACAACTTCCTGTTCAGCCTTACATAGAGGCTTATTCTGTGGAGTTTTAAATACATTTTGGTCAACCGTGTTCCTTTAAGGATTTACAAACTATCTTTGTTTCGCTGATCATAGATAGATAATTTTTGGCACTAAATCTATATAAACCCATGTGCATCTATTTTCCTTTAAAATATGACATCTTTTCAAATGTTCCCGAAGTGACTTAAAGTAACCATTTACTTATTTTTTTCATTCACTTATTCTTCTTTTTTACTTCTTTCTTTTTTCTGAAGTTTTATCTTGTATACCTTCTGCCTTTTTTAACTATTTATCTATCTTAGTAATGTTTGTAATTTCGTCTCACCTGATTGTACTGCAAAAGCATAAGCAGGTAAATCAACTTGTGTATCCTGGGATTCCACAATTTGATCTCTTACAAACTTTAAAATTACAAATTCTATTAATGAATGAATACCTCCACTCTCATATTTCAGTATTCCTTGTGCCACTGCCCGTATGTGCCTGGCTCTTCTAACATATCAACTAACACACAGAGCGTTTGATCCATGAACAGCCTGAAAATGTCCGACCCCAGGCAGGGAAAAAGCAGGCCAGAGGGATATAGCGGGATTGGGCATGGCATCAGACTAGTTCCCTGCAGATTCATAATGAATGGCCTCCATGATTCAGTCAGATGGGGTGTCTGTGAAATAGTGCACAAAGGTGTGTCATGGGAGATGACTTTTGACATCAATAAAAGAGGGTGGGTGATGTGTGTAGTGTGACCAATAAGTTACTGGTTGATTAGAATGTATCAATGTGACCTTCTTGTGATCTGTAATGTTAAAAAGTGTGCTGTGACACGTTTATACTTATGACAGGAAGATGCTATTTCATGTTTCTATCAAACAGCCAGGATAACAGAGTTTCTTTTCTAACTGAAGGTTTTTGAACGGTTTTCATTTTCAGGTCAAAGTCAAGACTTGCTATTTGCACAAATTGCTATTATGTGTATGTAGGTATAGGTGGGTGTGTGTATGTGTGTGTGACTGAAGTAGGCCAGAAGGAGACTCTCTCGTCTGCAGAGAGGGGGCCAGCGAAGGTGACCTAATAGCAAAAAATGCAACACAAATTGATTTTGGAGGATGGTTTTTTGGAAGGGTATTGGTGTCAGGCTGATACAGTTCACAGGCAACCCACTCTCACATCCAAATGTGCAATGGCTCAACAAGTTCTCATTCCAAGTCATTAGATACTGACGTTTATCAAAGAAGCACAAGGTACACCTTATGTGTCTGTATGAGATGCCTTTCTAAGACATAGTTAACATTGTGTGACGGCCGCAGTTTGGTTAGATAAAGGAAACAAAGCTACTTGGTCAGGTTTAGGAAAACATGATTTGGGTTAAAATAAGTACAGTATGTGAAAGTCACCAATGTAACGTTATATAAAGTCCCTACAAGGAACTTTCATTTTGTGTTGATTCTAGGACAAGTATTAAATCTTCTCACTGATGTTTTTTTTTTTTTTTTTGCTTGGGTTATTGCTGTGGTCACAGCTGTAGCTTGCATGTCACTGTCTTTGCGTTGTATAGTAAGCTGTTATTTCTGCTATTTTTAGTCAGTTCTTCCCAAAGCTTCACGGTGGATTGTGAGGCCTTTTTGATTTTAAGGGGTGTAAGAAAACTTGAAAAATTACACAGCCTATTAAATATAATATATGATTAGAATTATTAATATTATTATATAAAATACATAATACAGAGAATTGCATAAAAATATTTGGAAAACTCATCTGCGATCAATATTCACAGGAAATAATCTGCTCAAAATTCATCCAAATCTCAGATTTTACACAAACTTCCTGCAGTTATTGTGTTCACTGTTTATCAGTTGTTCTCTACTGTTTTTGTTATGCATTGAATGTAACATGACATATACATAAAATGTCACTGAGTAAGTGTACTTAATGATAGAAAGAAGATATATACTTTATAGAAAAGGGCTCCCTTAGAAATACATTTCGGAAACCACTGTTTTATGTATTACACCTATTTGACATTTAATAGTAGGGTAAACACAGGTGTTATCAATGATACTAATTAAGAACTGTTCCATTTAGTGTAGCCGAGTCTTTCCTGTGAGCCAACATGCTCAATAGCGACAGCAGACACCTGTGTTTACCCTACTATTTATTGTCAAAATGGCTGCTGTGAAAAAGGTCTATTATGGTATAATGACAGCCGTACATTCTTGTCATATACATATACGTGTGTGTGTATGTTTTCTTATATATATATATTCTTACACACAGATACACAAATGTATATGACATGCATGATCGTCATCGATCATTAC